ATAGCGACTGTATCACCAGATAGTTTTTCTATATTGCGTTTAGACCAAGGTTGGAACTTTTTAAACCAACTTGTCTTATAAATCTCATCTGGTTTGAGGAGTTGTAATTCTTTGAGTTTATCATCAGAAATAAAATGAGTTTTTCTCATAATATTTTTGAGTTTTACCATACTATCTTCATTGGTAGTTGTTGTACCTATAGAAGAAGAAACTGAAACATTATCTGTGTTAGATTCAGTATTCAGCATAAAAATAAAATGAGATTCATTGTCAGAAGAACTATAATCAGTTTCAAAAAAAACTTCATAATAAATTTCTTCATCAGATAATTCTTTAGCAAAACAAATTTGAAGAAAACTTTCATCAAGTTTTTTGATCATTTTCTTCCCACTTGTTCCTTTGTTAGGACAAGCGTTCGCATAGTGACCTTCTTAATCACAAAGAAAACATTTACAATATGTTTTAGAAGATTTTTTCTTCTTTTTAACAACAAATTTACCTTTTTTAGGTTTGAAAGGTGTTGGTTTCCACTTTTTCCAAAAATATTTTCGTTTTTTCTTAAAACGAGATGTCTTTGAAAAAGATGGTTTGTTACAACCAAATTCAAATTCATTTTCCAAAATCTTTGTACATTATTTATACGAAAGTTTGGATTTTACCTGTTTTGCAGCTTTTTGCTTTAAACAGTATTCTGTTACCTGATTCTGAACGTAGTGTATTCTACATCCAAGAGTATCATACAGTTCGATACTGGGATTTGCAGCATGAACAGTTTTGAATTTTAACTCAAGGTAAACAGGGTAATTTTGAGAATATAATTCATCCCATGGTGAGGAAAGTTTAAGAAAATATTGTTGTAACCAAAAATTGGAATGTTTTTCATCCAATTTTTGATATTCAGAAAGATATTTTTTAGAAAAATCATTTAAAAACTTTATATCACATAATTTTAATTTTGATAAAATAAATTGAGCTTCTTGAGTAGGATCCAGAGATTCTGTACTACCGCAAAACTCATTTTTCAAGATTTAGGTTAAATCTTTTAAAAGTTGAGGGATATTACCGACAGCTAACAGAGAGGATTTCTGCTGTTCTCCGAGGGTTGTCTTCTTTCATTTCTTGAGGAATTATAGGACATCACCTTGCCATGTGCCACAAAAGTAGTTGAGGAATCTTTCTTTGCCCCAAGTCTCCTTGTAATTTGTGACTACAATAGACATAGATTGTGCCCAATCATCTATGGTTTTTCTATAGTGTTGAAGAGGGACTTTGCTTAAGTCTAAATATGTACCTTATTGAAAAACCGTTCGTTTGTTTAATGAATCGATTATAGGAATTTCTTGCTGAACCTGACTTGTTTGGCTAGAATCAGAAGTTTGTTTGATCTCATCTTTGATCTCATCTTTGTTTAGGTGAGAGTATTTTTCCTTAAAATGAGGAAGATGTTGATCCATTAAGTCTGGATCTAATAAATCTAGAAATTACCTTAGATCATCAATATCTGGGTTAGATATTGCTTTGGCTTTTCTCTTCCCACGCACCTCTGGTTGAGGGGTTGGAATTTTAAGTTGTTCTGGATCTATTTGATCATCAAAACTATCTTCTTCATCAGATATGATTTCATCGGATGAAGGTGGTTCATCCTTGACTACTGGATTAGTAGTAAGAATTTTAAAATTATCTTCTACAATATCACTAGCTTCTTCACTACTGACACTGATTGTGTCATAGTTGAGCATATAATGATATTTGAATTTAAGAAAGAGGTCTTATGTTCTTTATAAAGAGTCTTTATAGCATTAAGGTAATCAATCCGTTGTTGCGGATCATTACTTTGCTCCATTTTTAATTTAAAATTTTTAATAATATACTTATAAGAGTCGAAATCAAGTTGTTCTTGTTTCGCCTTTGCAGAGGTAGAAGATGAGGGTTTGTCATCGTTCATCATAATATTGTCATAGTAAAGTGGTCCAAAATCCTTAGATGTTTCAGGGGGAACATGCTTTTGGTCTATCTTTTCTACAAGCATATCTACTTTATCTTCATATTATCAATTTTTACAAAAAGTTTATGAAAGAAAGAAGAAGTTAAATCTAAAACCATTTACAGTTCTACTTATGCTAATATTACTAGATTCATACTTAGGATCTATATGCAAGTCATGATTATAAGACTTATCTTGACAAATACAAAAATTTTTTTCATAAGTTTTCATGTTTCTGGTGCTTAAAACCAGTGTGCTGTTCTGAAACGCTAGCAACAAAAGGTAACTCAGGCCACAAAAGCCAGCTATCCACTCAGATATGCACGTATGAGCTTTGAAACAAAGAGCTTATGCAGAAGATGCAAGTAAGAGTAAAGAAAATCTTACAAGATGAATAACAAGTAGATCTTTATTGTAGAACCAACAATACAAGCTTTAGCAAACTTTTATACAAGACTGTGCTCTGATACCATTTACAAGGGGGGTGCGAAAAGGATCTATGTATAAAGGATTACAAAAGCTTTATCTATATATGTATAAGAGAAACAGAAGATAAGAGAGAGAGAAAGAGAAGAGGATGTCCAAAAGATGCCTCTGAAAGAGTTACAATGAGGCTTTAAATAGAAAAATTTCTAACTTATGAAGAGTAACTCTGTACAGTTGCCCGCTACAGTGTACAGTAAAATTTTTATCTACAGTACAGCTACAGTGACTTGCTACAGTGTCTTTCGTAGTAGGTCTCTGTCTTTTTCTGCTACAGTGACTGCTACAGTTGACTGCTATAGGGTTTTCTGTCTGCTAGTCGTTGGCGCCGAATGGAGTTTTATCCTTTTGTGTCGACTGTTTGTTCTGGCTTATCCTGGATTAGAATATGCATAGTTTATCCTTCCATAGCATTGTTTAAGTTATGGAATTCTTCATCCAGTGCATTAAGAGACTGGGGTGATTGTGGAGATCCTGAATGTGATTTTTTCCACATCTGCCATCCTTCTTGATACTGGTATAGTAAATCAGTTGGATGATCCAGATCTTCCATTTTAGATAATTTTTCCAAAAGCTCAATTACTTCTGGTGTATTTTCGATGTCAAGATCTTCATGGGGTTCAAGAAATCTTTTAACAAAAATGCGTCTGCCATCTGTCCAACAGGCTATTTTTGGATAGTCTTGTTTGGTGGCTAAATGGAGAAAGAATTTTGCTTTGTCCATTAGGTCTGTTCCTGTTTGGAAATGATAGGAGTTTGGGTTGGTATATTTAGAGATGATTTTGTTTAAATCATCAGAGAATTCGATGTGATCTGTGGGTGGATCAAGGATATCGTAAGGTTAAAGAAAGTGTCCACCTGATACAATATCAAATTCCAATATTTGGTAGGGTTGGTAAAATCTTTCTCGTTGAAAGGTACCCAAAAAATTGTATATACTAAAATGAACGTAAAAAAGGTGTTTTGACCATTTTATACATTCAATAAAGTGGTGCTTTATAAAAGCTGGAAAATCTTTTAAAAGGTGAAAAGAATAATTTTGTATAGTAATTTGTCCAACTAAACCAAGTTCAATACTTTTTATATCAAAATTTTCATGGTCAAGTCGAAACTTTAGTTTAGGTATATACTCACCAAAATATGTATTATACATATAAGTAGATGTATAATAATCTGAAAACTTTTCAACCAACAGTTTTTCTGTTGACTGTAAAATAGAAAAATTAATTTGCTGAAATAATTCTTGGGTTAAGAATATCGCAGCTTTTTCAAAGAGAAGAATTCTTTTAAGCTTGTTTAGCTTAGAAGAAATAAAATTATCTTTCTCAAAATATTCACATAAATTCAAGAAATTGTTTATCTCTTGAATACTGTATTGATTTTCTTCCAAAGCAAAGAAATCAATATCTTACTGTTTTAGCAGATTTGTTGATAGAAGACTTTGGAAAGCTATTTCTTTAAAATTCTGAAATTCTTTAGCCTGTTTGACTAAGAACTCAGCTAAGTTGGTCATCCCTTTTCGAAAGCTAGTTTTGTTTTCTGAGAGATGGGATTTCCAAACTTTATTAACAAATTATAGACTTGTGGTTCAAGTCCAGGATTGTAAAAATCTTTAATCTCTTGGTTAGAGAATGAGAATTTTGTTCTTTCCAACAGTTGTTCTGTGGAAGAAACGATTTGAGAATAACTCATAAGAGTCCAGTCCTTTGGATCCTGAGCAAACTGTGAGTATTCTGGTTGAATCCTCATGAAAGGGGGTCGATAAAGAGCTTGTTGGTAGAGATATAATCCTTGGTTAGGATTATTGTAAAAGTTAAATCCTTGGTTAGGATTTGTAGAGATCTGAGATTTTGGAGAAGAAAAAGTAGAAGAGGAAGAAGAAGAAGAAGATTTTTTACCTGATTTCTTCTTTACAGTTCTCCATCCACCAGTATCATGGATTGGGTGTTTTCCTCGATCCATGGGGTCGACTCAGGAAGTCTGCAAGGAGATTTTTGTCTCCGTTGATGAACTCTACCTGAAAATGATAAGAACAAAGAAAATTGTACCACCTAATTCGCCTGGGATTATCAGAAAGCTTTCTATTTTGGAGAAAGTTTTGACTGCTTGGTTATCTGTTCGGATAACAAAGAACTCCGGGGCTAAATAGATGTGGAATCACTGTACACCATTTTTTATCGCTAATAATTCCTTTTCAAAAATAATATAATTTATTTCGTTCGGTTTGAACTTACCAAAATTATATCCACAAATCAATTTATCTTTTTGATGAAGATTTTTTAGCTTTTCAGACACATCCTCAATGTTCATCACTGGCATCTGTCTCTAAAATTAATAGGTCACCTTGTTTAGGTAAATAGACCTTAGGTATAGTGGTTAATTCTGATTTGATCTGTTTGACAATATCAAAATCGTTAGGTGTCCAGACAAAATCATTATCTTTACGTAATTTACGCAAAAGATAGCTTTCCTTTTTGGAAAGGTTTTTGAAAAATTATCTGCCATAATTAAGTATACCTAACAGCTGTTGTAGCTATTTGATGTTATCCAGTTCTTCTGAAAAGTCTCTAATCTTGGAGATAATGTGATCCTGCAGGGTTAGTCCATTTGCAGAAAGATTAAGACCAAGAAATTCAATTTCGATTTTTTCAAGTTCAACCTTTTTGGGACTTAAAATAATACCGTGTAAAATAAATTCTTGAGCAATAATCTTCAGGTGTTTCCTGTGCTCATCTAAAGTATTAGAAAAGATCAAAATATCATCAATATATACACAACAAAATTGTTTATGTTTGCTGAAAATACTGTCCATCCAACGTTGAAAGATTTGAGGTGCATTGCATAGACCAAAAGGCATAACAGTCCATTGGTAATGGCCTGCTGGTGCACTAAAAGCAGTAAGGGGTTTAGAGGTTTCATTTAGCATTATTTGCCCAAAAACCTGACTTACAATCAAATTTAGAAAAGTATTTAGCATTTTTTGCTAAATTAATTAAAACATCTTTACGAGGGATAAAATAGCCATCAAAAACAAGATTTTGGTTTAATTTCTTGTAATTAATAACCATCCGGGGTTTACCTCATTTAATTTCAGAATGGTTTCTTACCATGAATGCTGGACTGGAGTGTGGGCTAGTAGTTGGTTCTATCAGACCTTTGTCAAGCAATTCTTAAATTTGAACTTCAAATTCATCTATGTCCTGTTTGGTATAGATCATTGGTTTTACTCGGACAATCTCTTTTGGAGACTGAAGAGTAAGTTCACAGTATCTAGGACTACGTTTCCAAAGCTTCAATGGGTCTTCACTGAAGTTTTCCTGTAAAATTCTGTAAAGCCAATATTTTTCATTAATAGCTTTAAGTTCAGAAATATTTTCTGGTCGAAAACTATTATCACAAACATGGTTGTGCTTGGATAATAAAGGAACATCTATTGATTTTTTATCAATAGTAAAAACAAGATAATCAGAAAAAACTGAAAAGGGTAAATATTTATGTATAAAATTATTTCCTAATAATATGTCTCCATGCATATTGGGAAAACATAATATTTTAGGTATAATAAACTTTATATCGTTTAAGGCAATAGGTATATTCTTTGCCTTGAGGTTAACAATGGTTTCTTTACCATCGATACCTACTATTATTATAGGATGCTTCATTGGTTGCCATTTGGTTGACGGCAAAGCATTAGGATGACAGCTAGAGATTGTTGCTCCTGTGTCAATCAGAATATTCAAATTATAGGGTTTATAGTTTTGAAAATAAAAATAACCTTCAACATAAGTATAATATCGTACCTTGTTGGCAAATGATATTATTTCTTGAGGGTGAGTCGTAGAAATACGAAAATTATTTATAGAATGAAGTTTAGAAACTAAGGGGCAGAAAGGAACTTGTAACTTGTTTTAACTTGAGCAATAACCACATCGAATCCTTGAATTAATACCCCTTTATTTCATTGATTCGTATATAGCAATAGAAATGAAACAGTCGGCATTTTATATTTTAATTAATTTTATGGCAGTAGCAGGCTTGTAGTTAGGAGTAACTATGGTATCCTTCATAGAAAGAAGTAAAAAATGGCATAACCAATGAAAATACCGGGAATGAAGGTGAGGCCAATGGAACATGTGGCGATAGCAAACCCCATGGAAGATTGTAACACTGCGTAACTGCCTGTGCTGAAAGCAATCACCATTGCTATCATCGCAGAAAAAGTTAAGACATCTGCCAGACCAATCACCTGAAATCGGAGACTAACTAGACTCCACTTCAGGAATACCAAGAGAAAATGAAGCAGGACCGCTAAAAGAGAGGAAACAAATGCAAGGGTATCTGTAATAATGAAGGCTTTAAAAGCTGGGTCACGACTCAAGGTTGCATCCCCTTGCTCATCACTGTTGTATCCACCAGGTACGGTGAATGCTGCGGCGATGTTACGGTTGCTACAAGCGTTGCCACCAATAAATGGGTCTCTCTTGTTTTTTCCACAACTTCGTTCAAGGAGACATCATCATCGTCCGTTACCTTTATTCTGAAGTATGGGTGAACCAGTAACCCTTCCACTTCTGCATTATCACCAATGTCATTCAACAATTGGCGAATATGTTTCTGCCACGATAATGGTCGATTTAAGGAATGATTTGCGTTTGTCAGTCTATGAGTAAAATTCACGGGTACTTCCCAATTTTTATAAATATATCATTTTCATTCGTGACATAAAAGATATATATATATATATATATTTAAAAATTCACTGTCCATCGTTTCGTCAATTAACAAGTAGAAAATTAAAAAAATGCTCATGCTAACATTGTGATATAAATACAAACACGTGACAGGATCTACACGTGGGCCACATGCATGTTTTAAATTTATTAAGTGAGATTTATCTCACTGACACCCACTTCACAAGTCATTGAAACATGTCATATATATGCACCGAATAAAGATTTAGATAAAATTTTGTACTTGAAATTTACGAAATTTTTAATTAAAATAGATTAAATACACAATTAATAAATTAAAATATTTTGTTACTTTGATTAAATATGTAAATTTTGAAAAAAAATTTAATAAATTTTGATATATACTTTTAAATGGACATTTTTAATAAAAATATTAAAATTGTTGAATAACTATTGATCAATTTGAATTATAAATAATATTTTTAATAATTTTTTATATATTATTAATCTTCATATTAAACTCCCTCAATTTATCGATTTAAATTTTTTATTAAAGTTTTTATTAAATTATTTTTAAAAAAATCTTTACAAACTTCACATAAAGAATTTTATATAAGCTTTCTCCATCCTGTGGGTAGACAAGTGATACTTGTATGCATAGTCTGATTGATTGTTAACTAAAGAAAGATAAACCATGAACTTTTCTAAAAAATTATTCAAGAAAAATAATTTTTTTGTTATGTATAAAAGTGATACATCTATATATATATACATACACACACACACACACATATATATATATATATATATAAAATAGAAGTTCATGAACGACTAGTGAATTTTACTTATCCATATATATTGGTGATGGAGTTGTTAAACTAGATAAACAAAATTAAAAACCTTTCTTATAACATTTTTTTCATTTTTAAACTTTATTTCTACGCAATCTATTCATTAAATATTTACATTTCATTACCTGCTAGTATAATATTTGTCTCTAATGTGACATCCCAATAATTAAACTTTAAAAATTCATTTTAAAAGTCTCAAATTAGGATTTTGAGATGGGCAGAATGAGATTTATGATGTGAGAGAGTTACTTTTCATTAAGATAATAATAGTTCGGATCGAATTTAATTTGATTTTTTCGAATAATGTATAATATTATAAATTTTTAAAGTTTGATTTAAATTCTAACTGATTTTTGTTTAAAATTGATCTAATTTCAACCAAATAAGAAAAAATCAATTCCAAACCAAATCAAACATTACGGCCTTTTTGCAATGATTTTTTTTTTGTATTTAATATCCTAATTTTAATTATTTATTATTATTTAAATTATTTATTTATTACAATGGTTGAATTGATAAATATTGTCTTTAATTCTTCTACCTATGAAAATAAAATAAATGGAAAGAAAATCAAGAAAAATTATTACTATATTTTAAATTAATATATTTTTCTCTCATTTTGTTTTGCATTAATTTCTTCTTTATATTTCATTTCCTAATTTTGAGTATTTATTATTTAAATTACTTATTTATTATTATTTTTACTATGCTATTTATTATTATGGTTGAATTGATTCTTAAAAAATTATTGAAATAATAAATTTATGTTCTTTCTTCTATACAAGAAAATTAAATTAAATGAAAAGAAAATCTAGAAAAGTTAGATTAGCCTAATTTAATTTTCTTCAATTTTTTGTAATTTTTATGAAACTGTTTATCCCTAAAAAGATAAAAAAGAGAAAATATAAAATGAAAATATTTACAAAAAATAGATAAATTAAAAGAAATTAAAAAAATGAAAATGAAAATGGAAAAAATCTCATGGGATCCTTTCAATATATTGTATAGATTTCAAAAGGAAACAATAAATTAGGATTTGTTAAAGGAGGCACATGCATGTTATTGCTAATTATCTAAACTTTGCTAATAGTAGTTAGAGTTTAATATTTTCCTATCAGTACTTAAAAACTTTGCTTATGGTAATCCACTTTAAAGACTAATTGTAAAATTATGTACTTAATAAAATACTCATTTAATCTCAATTTTTTATCCATCTTTTCTTTTTTAATACCCAAAAAAGCCAAAATCATTTTTTTAACATATAAAGACTTAATTTTTTTTTTAGAATAAATAGTTCTCGTTATACTTAAAATTCGATTCCAATATTTTCAAAAGTCACTTTTCAATCCTGATATTTGTAAAGCTATAACGCTTTGGTCTTTTTATCAGTCTTAAATCATTTCAGACGTTAAATATCTACTGGCATCATATGTCTTTACACTTGACGTCAGTGGGTATGTACGAAATTGATGACTTGAATTTTTTTAGAAAAGAAAAGGAAAATATTAAATACGTCAAAATCAATAATTTTTTTTTTGAAATTGAAAAAAAAAAAACACATAACAATTTGAAAAGAAGAGAATATTAAAAATTAAGCAGGGTAAAGCTTTATACCTTCTTTCGTGTCATTTGGTCGGAAAATTGCCAGGACTTCCATCCTTTTACTTGAAGTTCACGATCTAGAAAAAAGAATTAAAAGAAAACCAGCCAAGGAGCTGACGAGCAGGCCCAGCGAAGTAGATATGGATAGGCGTGTACCCATTAGCATCCTTTTCATCAAAAAGATTTCTATTTGTGAAATCATTAATCTTGTAATCAACTAAGAATCTCTTAACTTTTTTGGGAGATACTGCAACGAAAGCAAAGTGAAGAAAATTCCAGCCTCTTTTGTCCACCATTCCGACATCCCTCTCTCTTTATCACTTATATAAGCAGCGGATGCATCTTTTTCCAACAAAACTTTGGCAATTGAACGTTTACCGAAATGCGCAGCATAGTGGAGTGGAGTCCGCCCATTGTCATTGGTTTGTCTGGTTAGTTGCATTTTTGCCTCTATTAGTTTCCTTACTGTCTCTGTCATTACCAAAACACAACAAAAAGATCAAAAAGTTCAACAACAGCAGTACATGTGAGTTTATTTAATTTTGAAAAATGAATGACAAAGGCTATGCATTTGTTTTGTTTTATTTTCCTTGTTTGGCCAGGGGAGAAACAGAACATGCATTATTTAGAATGATGAGGAAGATTATCCCATTGGCAGAAAAAGCAACGAGAATAGCCATTGAGTAAATTATTCCAAAACAACAACAACAACAACAACACAAAATAATGAACTGATCACTTACTTTCATCTCCGGCCAGGACTGCCGCATGCAAAGCTGTTCTACCATGGGGGCTGCCATAAACCGTTGATTTGCAATTATCTAACATCTCAGTAACCATATACTCTCTAGCTTTTATAGTTTTCCTTAGACCATGTGAATCACGTTGAAAGAATAACATTTGTTTTTAAAGTGTAATTATGTTATTTACCCAAAAAATTCGGAGTTAAACTCAGATAATTTGTATAATCATTTTTAAAAAATAGTTTTGTATTACACTTGCAACCCCTTCCCTTATCCAATATTACTTACCAAATATGTTTTATATTTTCAAAATTCAACAAAACAAAATAAATAAAAACAGAATTTTTGAAAAAAAAAAAACAAAAAACAATTTTAAACGGTCCAAAAATTTGCCAATTATAATAGATTTTCCTTGACTATAAATGTTATTTTTGGTAATACTATATTAACTAGGTGGCATAGCATGCATTCAATTGGCCATGGTTTTCAAAGCTCAATTTGTTATTTTACTTTATTTATAAATATTTATTTATTTATTTATTTGATGATGTGCATCTATCATCTATATATAAAAATGTGAACTCTAAAACTATTAAAAATGAATGACATAAATACCCTTACAAATTTTAAGAAATAACAAATTTACCTTTAAATTTCTAGCATTTTTTATTTATGTATTAAAGATTATTTTCCATTAAATATATGGCATTTATTAGTTAATTATTTAAATTAATCCAAAAGTGTTAAAAGTGAACAGCATAAATATCCTTATAAAGTTTAAAAAATAACAAATTTATGTTTAAATTTTATAGCATTTATTTATTATTTAATAAAGATTATTTGCCATTAAATATATATTTTTATTTGTTAGTTATTTAAATTTAAATCAATTAAAAATTTACTAATAGAATTTATATCAAATTAAACTACATTAAAAATTTATTTGTGGGATATGGTGGATGTGTTGTCAAAAATTAACCCAAATTTAATCTTATCCTTTTTTTTTTTGTAGGATTCTTTTTTGCTCAATTTCATAAGTAATAATTCAATTAAATTCATATAAAACACATTTCTCATCCTACAGCTATGGCATACTATCGGTCCTCTTTAAATTTCTAGCATTTTTTATTTATGTATTAAATATTATTTTTCATTAAATATATAGCATTTATTAGATAATTATTTGAATTAATCCAAAAGTGTTAAAAGTGAATAGCATAAATATCCTTATGAATTTTAAAAAATAACAAATTTACCTTTAAATTTTTAGCATTTATTTATTTATTTAATAAAGATTATTTGTCATTAAATATATAGCTTTTTATTCGTTAGTTATTTAAATTTAAATCAATTAAAAATTTACTAAATAGAATTTATATCAAATTAAACTGTATTAAAAATTTATTTGTGGGATATGGTGGATGTGTTGTCAAAAATTAACCCAAATTTACTCTTATCCTTTTTTTTTTTGTAGGATTTTTTTTTGTTCAATTTCATAAGTAATAATTCAATTAAATTTATATAAAACACATTTCTTATCCTACAACTACGACATACTATCAATCCCCTTTAAATTTCTAGCATTTTTTTATTTATGTATTAAAGATTATTTTTCATTAAATATATAGCATTTATTAGATAATTATTTGAATTAATCCAAAAGTGTTAAAAGTGAATAGCATAAATATCCTTATGAATTTTAAAAAATAACAAATTTACCTTTAAATTTCTAGCATTTATTTATTTATTTAATAAAGATTATTTGCCATTAAATATGTAGCTTTTTATTCGTTAATTATTTAAATTTAAATCAATTAAAAATTTACTAAATAGAATTTATATCCAATTAAACTGTATTAAAAATTTATTTGTGGGATATGGTCGATATATTGTCAAAAATTAACTCAAATTTACTCTTTTCTTTTTTTTTTTGTAGGATTCTTTTTTGTTCAATTTCATAAGTAATAATTTAATTAAATTCATATAAAACACATTTCTCATCCTATGGGTTATTGGATACTATGAGTCCGTGATATTGAACAAAACATAAACAAAATCTTTCCTTTGTTGCTCAATTAGTCATTATTTTAATCTAAATTATTATGTCATAACATTTATGCTCCAAAAACGTTTAATTTTATCTTATGTAAAACCTATAATTTTTCTTTTTGAAGATACAACCTAATTTACTCTTTTATCTTCTTTAATAGTACATATCATGAGTCTTTAAATATATTTATATTTTTTATTTATTTAATTTAGATAAATTAAAATTAAAGTTCATACAAAATTATTAATTAAATTATAAAAAATATTATTGAGAAAGAGTAATATATATGTTGTGGTAAGTTTGTATGTTTGTTTTTTTTTTTAATTGTAAATATACATTTATATATTTAATGATTACAATGGTTGATTTATTTTACTATAATATTTTTAATCACTCTATGCAATCACGTCTTAACGTTACAATGCCTAAATGAATCTTTTCTTTGTGAATATAATCTCTCATATATGTGAATTGTTACTAAACTTAGATTTTATTGTCTTCTATAGATTGATTCTATATTGCATCCAAGTTAATTTCAATCAATCCTTTTTTTTTAATTTAAAATATTTTGTACTTAAGATATTTTTATGAAACCATAGTCAATATTTTTAAGAAACATTAATCTTGAAGAAGAGAAATTATTTGATATAATGTTAGTTGAGGTTTTTTTTTTTCTTTTTTTATTCCACAAGTGGGTTAAAAAATTAACACATCATTCACTTTTTTTTTCAATTAGGTTTTTGTTTTTTAAATATCACTCACTTATTTTTTTTCGATTAACCTTTTTTTAATGTACTTTGAAGCTTAAAGGGTGTGTATGTTACGCTACTAATTTAAATTGTGAAATTTAAAAACTCTATTATTATTATATTTTATAATTTTCCTTTGACTAATATAAATTTAGTTTTTTCAGTTAAGAATGCTCTAGAATATTTTTGTATTTTGATAGTGAAAAATATTTTAATCACATGATTAATTATGTACGTTTTGTTGAATGATCAAAGCTTTGTTAGTTTTGTAACCAATTAGTATATTCTTTGAATCAATAATGTTATAGTTTATTTTCTGTTATTTGTTTATATTCCTTAAGTATATGATTATTAATTTGTACTCTCATCATGAAAGCATCTGTTTAATAATTATTTGTACTTTATGAGTGTGTTTATTATAGATAAATACATGTATCATCTATATAAATACATGTATCATCTATGATATATACATATAAAAGTGTGAACTCTAAATAATATTAAAAGTGATTTTTTAATTTGTTAGACTCCTATTAATAACACACTACATGCCAATCAGGCATGTCTAACCAATTATTCAATTCATAAAGAAAAGAAGAATTACAATTAAACTCATCGCTATATGATAAAAATTTTTGAAGTATGAGGATGTGCAAAATATGTTTATTTATATAATCTTACAATTAAGATCAGAAATTAATTTAGTTAATAATGTTAAATTATATATATACAAAAATAAAATAAATGAATTAATTAACATTTCATATAGATCATAAAATTATTAAATTAGTCTTTTTATTACTCAATGGGTCAATATATCATAATATATATGAAAATGATTAAAAAAATGAAGGTGTTGGCTAACAAATGATAACATGACTTTTAATTTTTTTTCTCTTAAAGTGTAAAAAGTGTTTCACTTGGAATTTAGCCAACTTTACTATAAAAAAATTTATTTAAATTTTTGCTAAATATTTAGAATACTAACAAACATATACATACTTTAAATTTTATAGCCTATCTTGAATAAGACATTTTACAATTAAGAAAATGTTTAATATATATCTATATTATATATAAAATGTGATAAGTTATTAAATTATCTCTATTTACTTTTATTTAATATTTTTTAGTAAATTAAAATATTATCTACTTTTTATTTATGTTTTTCTTAAAATAGTTTTTCTTTGGTTAAATCATTACTGCCCTTGTTAACACAAGCAATACAAGTAGAAGGCTTAAAACAGTTTTTTTACAAATGAATAATTTAGTGTTTATAATATATTACACCTATTAATATGATTTATACAATTAAATTAATTATAGAATATTTAATGGTAAATTAATTATAACTTAGTAGTAAATGTGTGATAATATAGTAGCAAATTATTGATAATTTTGTTATAAATTAGTGATAATTAGACAAAATCAGTAATAACTTTATACTAAATTAATGATAACTGTATAGTAAATTATGGATAACTTAATAGTAAAATAATAGTAACTTAATAGTAAATAAATAATAATTTAGTAGTAAATAATTGATAAAACAATTTATGATAACATAATAATAAATACATAATAACATAGTAGGAAATAATAAATAACTTAATAGTAAATGATTTATATATAATTGTAAATGTGTAACACATATAAGTAAATTATGGATAACTTAATAAAAAATAAATGATAACTTAGTAGTTAATTATTGATAACTTAGTAATAAATTAATGATAACTTAATAGTAAATAAGATTCAGTTTAATACTCCTTTTATCCTAATAAAATTGTTACATTTTGATTTTTGTTGGTCAATTTTTTTCAATTTTAATAACCTATTAAATAAGATTCAATTTAATACTCCCTCCATCCTAATAAAATTGTTACATTTTTATTTTTATTGGTCTTTTTTTTTTCAATTTTAATAACCTATTATTTTTATTTGTTATTGATAAAAATAAGAAAAAAATATTTTAAAAACTTTAAATGAAGTAGTTTCTAAATATATGTTTTGTAAAATTTAATTTATTAAAATATTTAAAATAATAGATGTCAAAGTTAAACAATTTTAACCAAAAAAATCAATTGTGAGAATTTAACTGGAACAAATAAAGGGAGTAGTAATTAATTGACAAATTTAGTAATAAATCATAAATAACTTAGTGATAAATCAATGATAATTTAATAGTAAATAATTTATAACTAAGTAGTAATTAATAATTAAAAATTAAAAATAAATCAATATAATTTAATAATAATTATCAGTAAATTAATAGTTAATCAGTAATAAGTTAGTATA